CAGTATAATTTTTGTTCTCCGGGGTTTTCTCACCTGCAGGTGAAATATTTCAATTGATTTCTTTTGCACTTGCTCGTCTTCCAGATTCCTTGAACTTTGTATAGTTTATTTTCTATAACAATGTGAGTTGTACATCGTACTTCTTTTTTTCATTCCTCGCTAAACCTTTTGTCAAAAGAGAGAGAAAGGTAAATCCTACTTGCTTATTATGGACCTGCAGTTGAGAATTGAACCTTCCTAGTGTAAGTCAAATAGTGTGCTTATCAATTCACATCATCCTGGTTCTCGGTTTTGTATAATGTGCCTTCTTGAAGAGATGGAAGTAAAATATTTCTATTTGGCTTTCCAAAGTGAGAATGGGTTTTCCTGTGAAATATGAAAAAAGATAAAAGAATTCCAGGTGAGTGGTGCAGTGGCCTACAGGTGGAGCTCTCGCCTTACAATCAGGAGGCCTTGAATTCGATCCTAGGTAGAGGCAGACCTTTCTGGGCACAATGAAAATATATATGCTGCAAACTCCGCATTGGTGACAGGAAGGGCATCTGACAAGTAAACACTCAGCTGCATTCAGTTGCCATGACTCTACCCTGCAAGGGATATATTACGCATAGGAGTGGGCTTAAAAAATTTAACACCTAGTTCTCTGCCCGTTTGCTGGGTGGGCATGATCATGATGGCTGTGGCCTAGTCAGGCTCCTGCAGTATGGCAGGAGGGAGTTTTTGCCCTCCCTGGGCTCCAGAGGCTTTCCTTGAGCCTCCAGGAGGGCAAAAATGACCTCCCCGGGCTCCAGAGGCTGGAAACAGGTCCCTTTTCTGGCTTTCTGGAACTTCCAGGAGGCTTGTTTTTCACCCTCACCGAGCCTCCACATGGGCCCTGCATTTACCTGTGATCCAAAATTCGACGCATGGGCAAGGCCAGTTGGGATGGGATTTGCCAGTTCGGCAAACTGGCCATAAAATTAACAAGCGGTTTTCCCAAATGGTGGGAACTGGTAGCAGCTCACCTCTGATTAGAGGGTCATTAAACAACAAAGAAGAATATAAAAGAATTCCATGTCAATTGACAGATTTGGGAGCTCTAATAACTGCAAACCCTGCATTTTGGGGAACAGAGACTGGAATCTGCCCAATAGCCGGGTTAGTTGGTGTGAGGGAATTATGCAGCTGGTGTACAAATTAAGACAGAGACACTGACTGTAGTTTTATATAAATCTATTTATTATCTTATATTTAGAGCAAATAAGTTAGGCACATCACTACATCCTGAGGTAAATCTTAGAATAGCATACAGAGCACACAGAAGAAAAAGGCGGGAAAATGGGGAACGCCCCCTTTACACTCAGCAACCAATCATAAAGTAGATTGCCTCATGCAGGAAGCCGCACTCTCCAACCAATCAATGACCACTGTGTGTTCTGGTCCACTGTGCACTTTACTGTTCCAGATTTTAAATTAAATAGCTGAACAGTTGGCCTGCAAACAGGCTTGAACGGTTGGAATAAAATGTCACTTAGAGTGTTTCAGTTTAGAAATCTATCTAGTCAATCTTGCTTTTGGTTATTCCATTTCAACATTTCCCCCCAGGATGCCCCTATAGAGCATTGCCTGCCAAAAACAACTAGACACAAAGATAGTTTCTTCCCCTGTGCCATCACTCTGCTAAACACTCAACTGCCACACCACTGTCTTCTGCCCAAAGATATTTATCCATGTGGTATTGCTGTATTGCTATTATCCTTGTCATCTTATCCTTGCCATCTTTCCTACTACCTTCTCCTATCAGGATATTATCTGATCAATTATTGTTGTATCTTATGATTAATCATTGTTTTATGATGTATGATCTATGACTATCACTGTTTATGTATATTGAAAGTGTATGCACCAGAGACCATTTCATTGTATGTCCAAAACACACGGCCAATAAAGAATTGTTTTATTCTTTCCAATTTTTGATTTTTTTTTCCAAATTCCATGTCTGACTACAAGCACTGAATTGCTCTGAGTCTCTCTGCCTCCATTTCTACATCTTTCATTTTCCATAAAGATTCGTCAAATAGCTTGCTGAAATCCAAGTATACTATCTGCACAGCATTTTGCTGATGTAATTTAATTGCTTAAATAAAAAAGGCGAGGTTTGCTTGGCAAGATCTCTTTCTAACAAACCTATGCTGTCTTCTAGTAAATCAGCTTGCTTGTTTATAGGTTCTCACAAATTCTCTGCCTCATTTTATTTTTTCAGGATTTTACCAGGTATTGATGTCAAGCTGATTAGCCTATAATTTCCTGGATCGTTTCCCGCTCCCTCTTTTGTAGTTTGGAATCACATCAGTTATTTTACAATACTCTGGTATTTCTCCTGTGTTACATAAGCTTTCAAAGATTACAAAATTATCTAGAATTCTAGGCAATGCAATAATACAGATTTATACAATACAATACAATACAATACAATACAATACAATACAATACAAT